ACCTTGTAATACATTCGTTTTGGCCGCGCGCAAAATGGACCCACTTTCGGTTGTCAAATTCGAACTTTGGGCAGCAAAAGGTCCAATTTTTCGCTCTTTAACATTATTCGCTTTTGGCAATTTCGAAAAGTAGACATAACAAGCGACAGAAAAACGCCAAAACACTCTTCACTTCATAGGCACGTTAATGTATACTTTGAACATTCAAAGCTGATAACATCTCAGTCTGTTTTTAAAAATGTTCAAATTATCCGCCTCAGCAATTTCTTTTGGCAGATTATTCCATGTATAGATTACGCATACAAAAAAGAATGTTTAAAGCTATAGTTTCTGATGTAGACTTAAGTTTGAAGCGGTGATTAACTCTTAGTGGTCAAAAAGCGTGTGCAAACTTACAAAAATGCTGAGGGCTCCAGTCCGTTAAATCTGTTTATTGTTTAAAGTGAGCAACTTCAACCTAATAATTTAACGCAGTGAAAGACCTTTTTCCTTGAAGATTAAGCTAGAAGCAACCAAAAAAAATTAGAAGCAAAAATTTTCATTTATATTAGGAGTAAAAAAGGTATACCCATAATGCATTGCGATTGAACGTCATTATCTATATCAAAACTTTGTCATCTTATCATTCATTTTGTGTTGATACTGGATATAATGGTTTGCTGGTGGTAGAACAGTGTCTCAGTGTAAATGCTTTGCATAATACACCTAGAGTTTATCATTTGTCCACATCACCTGTACCTGTATATATTTAGCTCTGATGCTGTGTGAATCTAAAGCTTGAAAGGTAAAAGGGTTAAATGAAAATTCAAAGCCGGGTACCTAACCCTGTTGCATATCTACAGATTAATAAGTATTTGAATGGAATAATGGCTACTGTGGAAATCAGGCAAGTACCTTTTGTCTCCCAGTCTCTGAGTTCTGCTAAAAGGTCTCTCTCAAAGGCGCCTGGCAGACCAAGGGCTTTAACTAGTCTTTCCATCTCGTTAAAACTCTGTTGATAATTCACTGGACCCCAGTCACTGAATACACAATGGG